ATTCTAGCTTGTCAGTATCTGTAATTTGAGTTCCTAATTTGTATGAAACTATAGACTTAGTATTTTGACTTTACAAACATCTAATTTGAACCAGTGCTGCATTCGACATACCACATGACATACAAAAATCAATGTTTATCTGTGTTTTTAATATTTGCTTTTAAATTAACAAATTGAGTAATGCATAGTACTAAAATTTGAATTATAATCTACAGTTTGATACCAAACTTATTGACATAAATTCATGAAATAGTAGTTCAATAAAATTTTCAATGTGAGTCAACAAACGAGATGACATAGCCTTTCACCCATAACCCATCTCGAAAGTGTTAAAGGAAAAGGATAAGCCATAACCTAGGGCTATTTGTTCTAATTAAATTAAGTTATAAAATGACAAGTTTAAAACATTTTTATCAGGTTGTGAAGCCTTACACCACAAACTATTCTTAAAGAAATCTTCAAATTTCATTTTGGGTCTCACCCTTTCATGCTTCAGCTTGTTTGATACTACAGTATGGGCTATTATGTGTGTTGGAGTTGTATGTTCTTGTAGTATGCATGCCACAATTGCATGTGTTTTCACATGAATTTTAGTTGGGAGTTTCTCAAGGCTGGTGGGATGCAAGTCTCTCAGGCAAAAAAGGGCAAATTCAAGAGGAAACTAGCTAATCTGTACGGAGGTGAGTATCTATTGGAAATACATTTTCAGATAAGAAAATGTTAATTTCCTTTATCTTGCATTGTTGAGAATAGGCAAAATTACCCATTTTTTTCCATCTGTCCAGCAGGTGCAGGAAATTCATAAGCAAGGTATTGCTGTTACTTCTTTTGTTCTAGAAAACCCAAGTTGGGTTCAGCCAATGAGCTGGAGAAGCACAGTGATCAGCTTGCATCAAAAGGTTTGAGTGGTGTTTGGTATGTTACAATAAAGGTACACATATGTAAGTTCAAGTTCCCATTGATACTGGAGCCACCAGAACCATTGTTGATTGTGGAATTTATCAAGCACACAATATGTAGCCTAAATTTCATTCACTTGATACAGACTTCATTCCAATAGTGATTGGTAAATGTGTGAGAGAAGAGACTGTGACTATGTAAAGTCATCCACAAGATAAATTTGGTTGAGTCTGATCTTGTTTCAGGTATTACAATCATGAGGATGAACCTACTGTAGAAACTGTCAGATTTGCCCGTGCAACAATTGAGCTGCATTTCCATGAGAAAATCAATAAATGCCAGACAGATGGGGTCCAGGAACTGCGTACCACATGAGAGGGGTGTCACAGTGCTTTCAAATGCTTTTTGGCCCACGGTCACGACATTCAGTTATCTATCTATCATAGCTCAGACCCTGATGGTAGATCATCTATCTCATCTAGGCATTGACCGTTCCCTGAGACTGATCTCTTCCTCCTCTGGTGTTTTCAATGGATTTGTTCTTACTATGAGCATTCTATAATCACAGCTTTTCCACCTCACTTCCACTCATTTGATATCCAATTCTAGACTAATAGCTCTGGCTGAAGATGCTCTATATCTTATGTGGTTCAACCTCCTTTTATACGATTCAGACAAATTTCTTTTTCTTCTCCCTTGCGGTAGCTGTCACTCAAATTTTTCTTCCACACTAATTACCAGAGAAACAGGTTCATCTTCGTCCCTGAACCTGGCTTGTGATGAGAAACAAAAAATAAGGACAACAGGAAAAAGAATGACACCTAATATCATAAACTCTGAAGTTTTAAAAAATGTACTGCAATTGAATAACAAAAAGAATAACTTTAATTCCTATTATATTATCCATTTTATTGACTCTTTGTCTGTTAATTATGTTGTTGTTTTTTTGCAGCCACAAGCTCAGGTTAAAGCAGTGCGAAAACTGTCAGCAGCCGAAGTTATGCTTAATCGTCAGTTACAGGTTCAGCAACAGTATAATGAAACCAGCTCAAACAAGGTAAAACCTTTTGGGAAGAATTGCTCTTACATCTTTAAATCTACACTTGATGCACTTATATAGATCAAAAAATAAGTTATGTAACAACATAGTACACGATCAAAACATCCAGTTTTTTTTGGGGGGGAGCTAACCCTCATTTTTAAAAAATCAAATTTTATTATGCAATAAATCAACACTGTGTATGTGTGTGTGGGTTAACCTTTTATTTGTGCAGACCACTTGTATAAATTGATATTTTCTCTAATATGAAACAAAACCTCTTTCTCTGATGTTTAGGCATCTGTTCATGTTCCCTATTTTGAACTAACAGTGAAGCAAAAATGAGTAACAAACTTGCAAGATGTTATTGTTCTGTTCTGTTCTCTCATGTATGGTTTGTCAGTAACTGATGAAAATTTCCTACAGCTATGATGATTTCTATAATGACCTTGAAAATTGTATTTTCTGTGAAATGAATGTATTCTACACTGAGTTGACAGCTTTTTAAGGCTCTCCTCTACAGCGCTCTTATTTAAAGGCACAGTAATCTGAGAATGTAGGAGAACATGTAGAGTGCTAAAACTTAAATAGGAATGTAGGAGAGCATGTAGAGTGCTAAACCTTAAATAGGAATGTAGGAGAGCATGTAGAGTGCTAAACCTTAAATAGGAATGTAGGAGAGCATATAGAGTGCTAAACCTTAAATAGGAATGTAGGAGAGCATGTAGAGTGCTAAACCTTAAATAGGAAAGTAGGAGAGCATATAGAGTGCTAAACCTTAAATAGGAATGTAGGAGAGCATGTAGAATGCTAAAACTTAAATAGGAATGTAGGAGAGCATGTAGAATGCTAAAACTTAAATAAGAATTTAGGAGAGCATGTAGAATGCTAAACCTTAAATAGGAATGTAGGAGATCATGTTGAGTGCTAAAACTTAAATAGGAATGTAGGAGAGCCTGCAGAGTGCTAAACCTTAAATAAGAATGTAGGAGAGCATGTAGAGTGCTAAAACTTAAATAGGAATGTAGGAGAGCATGTAGAGTGCTAAACCTTAAATAGGAATGTAGGAGAGCATGTAGAGTGCTAAAAATTAAATAAGATATAACATATTTATAGTGAGTAATATTTTAATTTATCTACCTATTGTAAGGTTACTACAAGTATACAGTTTCATGACTGAAGATTTCTACTCTAACCCTGTTGGTTACTCATTAGAAAGTTTACCAGCATCGTTTAATATTCAGAAGCAAGAAACATTATATGTGTGCATCATACACGTGACGAATCAATTGCACTTCAACAACTATTGCGTGTCAGACTGGCATGTTGTCGGAAAATAAATACCTCCTATAACTATAAATAAAAAACAGATAGCTAAGTTTTTATATGCTCATAGTTCCTATTAACTCTCATCAGCTCACCTTTGAAAAGTTATTTTGTGAAACACCTGGGGTCCAATCAGACTCCAGCACAAAAGTACCATTATTGTAAGCTCTGGATTGAAATTCCAAAAACCAGTTGCATTACAACTTTTATTAGGGTTAGCATGCAATGTGAACAAGATACAAAAATATGTATTCTAGAGAAATTATATTGACAAATCAAGAAATTACAATATTACATTGTTCCTCAGTATACAAATTAGTATTAAACCATTCCTTATACAGACAGTATAAAAAAATGCCAGTGAAAATATGATGATATTACCACAATACTGCAACATTCAACTCAAAACTGAAAGTGTACGTTGTGGGTCCAACCAGACCCCAACACAAATGTATCCTTATAGTAGTTATGGATTGAAAATCCAATAAGCAGGTTATTTAAAACAATTATCTAACAAGGTTTATATAAAATAGGGTATTATAAGCAGTCATCACAGAGAACACTTGTTGAGGAATGAGATGTGCATACGTGTTTACCACAATGATGTTATAAACAAAACAGACCAGATGACGATGTACTACTATGATATATTATCCTCTATAACAGCCTATGTAGTGAAATAAATGTTTAGAAATTTGTTTAGTATGCTATGGGGCTAACTGCGTGTATAGTGATGGTCAGTGATTGTTTGGGGTCTGTGTAGACCCCAGATAAATATTAGATTATAGCTGTGTACTCCTTCTGCTTGTTTTGAAAACAATAGTGTCATATTTATCCAGGGTTTCTGTTTTACAATTACATAAATTGATATAAATTTGTAATGATTATGTTAAAAGATATATAACTGAGAAAGTCGTTGGGTCCATGTGTACTCCAGGCGTGCTGATGAGGCTTAAGACATCCTCATGTGGAAATACGATCTTAGAGGAAAGATTTAAATTGTGATATTTTACTATTTTTGGAACTTTACCTTTTGTAGAACTGAAACTAGAGCTGAGTTTCATAGTGAAAAATTATAGTTTTTTTTTAATGCAAATTTTGTAAATATTGGATGCTTACATGAATTATTTCATACAAATTATGAAAACAGGCAGTTATATAGCATTCTTAATTCATAAAAGCAACCTGGTTAGTGATTTTATATCCAGTTACTGCTAATATCCTAACCATACCCGAGTAACAGAGTGCTAGTGATATATTCTAGGATATTGCTTTACACTAATTTATAGATTGAGGTAGTGCTTCAAATGATTAAACTCTGTTCTGATTTTGTCATTAAATTTTCTATTTTTTCAAATTGAACCCACTGTATTTTCCAATTATTATTTATTCATCTCTATTTATGGCAATTGTAACTTTATAATTGAATGTTTAAATTTGTTAACTTTTTGCTACATAAAATTTACTACATTTGTAAATCAGTTACTTTATCTTTAAACTTTCATTCTTGAACTTAGGTCATTACGTAAGAGGTCAATATCTGTATACTATTACTTTTAAAGTTGGTTTACTAGAAGTGTCAGTATTGTGTTCATTAGTTGGTTTTCTTAAGTTGAATCTGGCTTGTTGGAAATACCTTTATCATTTGGTTGCGAGTACTCTTTTGAGCAGCAGGAATAATGTCCTATAATAATATTCTCCTATAATATAGTTGTAAACTTTTGGCTTAGAAATCATTCTTTATTTGGTTTAACCAATTTTTTCAAGTATTAAAATGGTAATTTTAGCTGTATAAGTATCTGATGTTCTTGATTGTCTTATTTCAGGTCCATAGTGCCTTCTTAAACTGTGTTAATCAATCTTTGGATGGGAGCAAGAAGAGGATTGCTCATGTACCAAATGCTGTAAAGTTGGCTGAAGCAGCAATGGAGAAGAAGGCAACATTCAACCACCTTCTCTCAGTGACACCTAAGAAAACGTCAGCAACGTGTGCCACAACTGCACCAAAAGGAGGAAGACGAGTTGCTCATGTCCCCTCAACGGTTAGTATGAAAGATTTACATTTGATTTTTGTGTTTCAAGCTAGTAAAAAAACGAAAAGAAAGACATTAGTAATTCATATTTTATTTATCAAAACTATCTGCTAACAATGAAGCACACCAAACAAAACTAAAATACTATAATACAAAATGTTATTGATCATCTGAAGGTATTAACCCTCACAGGACCAGCATGCATCTTTCATATGTTAAGTGTACATTTTTGTATCAAATTTTTAAAACTTAGGTTGAAAATATAATTCTATTTCAACAACTTTTTTTACTCAAAAATATCATTGCACATATTTAGTGAAAAAAATGCTACAACTTTCATTTCTGTGTAGCTTTGAGAAGTCTCAAAGTATAGGTGTATATTTTCTAAGCAACTAATATCCATTGAAAATGGTTCATGTTATTTTTCCTTCTCGGTCGGTGTTTTTATTACCACAGCCCATTTTTATGATACCATAGCAAGTGGTCCAAACAATTTCTAACAAAGCTCAGCTTTGAAAATATCATGGCTTACAATGATCATACAGATATCTATATCACTATAGAATAAATAAAGGGGCTTTAGCGGTTTGTTTTTCATGTTGGCCATCTGGAGCTCGTGTAAGAGGGAACAAAGGATTCCAATGCAAAATTTGCAATCTGTTAGAACAAATCACAGATCTGGGAATCATTTTATAATTTATAGTACTGACCCAATATTCGGTAAAAAGTTCATACTGTTATTGGTAGTGGCAGTGTTGTTATTGTATTGAATTTTATTTATGATGTTGTTTGATTTGTTGTTCGTGATAGATTTAAATTTCCACCAGAATTTGGAAGGGTCAGGTTTGGATTTATCTATTGATAGGTAGAAGTTTTTCCAGTTATCATGTTGCTGTTGTTATAATATAAGTTGCTTAATAAGATTAATGAGTGGTTTAAATGTAATGTCACAGGTTTGTATGAAGTCGTGGCAGAGTCATCTTTGGGTAATTATTAATTCACAAATTTTAGGAGTAAATTTAGAGGACCATATGTCAGGATTTGTTACTTTGCTATGGATTGTTTCTGTGATGGCTTGGGTTATGGCATTGATTATATCAGAGGCTTAAGTATTGATTTTGGTTTGCTTGTTCACAACTGTGATGCTCCTTATTTAAAATCTAGGCACTTCAGGACTCTGTGGTTTGTAAAATTGGCATGTAAAAAGGTTAGCATACTCTGCATTGAGCACCTTCGAAACATTCTAGATAGTAATCGTGAATGAAAGAGGAAATAAACCTGTGGAAAAAATTTGACTGCCCTATGGACAATGTGGTAGAGTGTGTTAGAAGTGCTTTATGCAGAGTAGGAGTTTCGTGCACAATAGGAAAAAAAAATGGCTGTAGAATCCAAATATTAAATCTATTATTTCCAGTAAATATTGGTCTTTCAGTGACGAAATATTCTGATGATTTTGAGGCATTTCTGGCCTTTTCTGATACTATATTTAATATTTTTGGTTTATGTTTTAAGAGACTTGTTTTCATTAAAAAATTTAAAAACTCCAAAATAGAAGAATTTTCATAAATTTTGTGGTATGGCCCGATTTTAGTTACGTTAAATGCTTGCCTGATTAACAGGGCTAGGCACTCAATTATGATTGGCCAATCATGAGGTGGAATTGTGAAAAATGATTAGTGGTCTATTAGCAAAGGGTGTATTAGTTGCTATGGCAAAAGAATTTTAACTTGACACGAAACACATACACAGAACAGTTACGGGCTGTTAATGCTAATAGTCCATTAATAGTTTCAGAATCATTTTCTCTTCTCAACATCCCTTACAGAATATTATGCCACCATCTTCATCATGGTGTAACCATTTCTTATAACTCTTCCCTGTAATGACTTTTCTTCGTTTAACTTTTCACACTCGTGATCCCGTTGCCTTTTTTCTGTTGCATTCTTTTTCAGATCAACACTTGATTCTCTTTATTTAAGAAAATTTTTAACTTTGGGTGACTTTTATGCAGTGTTCTCCATGACTTTGACTGAATATCTTTTGGCAACAACAAAATGTGAACGATCCCAAAAAGGGATTATTTCATTATTTATTTAGATTATTAAAGGACACTACTTTAAAGGGGGAACAAAAAGTTAATGTTATACCATGCTTTAGAGAGAAATTAAAGATCATATGTGTGACTTTCTTTTTTTTCCTGAAATACAACAAAATAAATTAAGATATGTTGATCCATAATATCCACTATTTAATTCAATGATTTTTCCTGATAACCTTCACTATTAGAGTACATTTTATAATGAGCTATAGAATTGGTTCCTGAAACTGCTTGTCGGCCTCCAAAAATACATATTTTTGGGGCCTGGCTGGCTTCCTAAAAAAAATGTTAAGCATGAG